GAACTTTTCTCATAAAGATGTTCGGTACATTCGAGAACCAGGAATAGACAAAAATTGAAACAGAAAAACAAAGAAAAAATTCAAGACAAATTGAGTTAAAAGTGCTAGACAAGTATAGACATAGAGTTTCTATTCCAGGCTCTCGCACTTACTCTAACTTTTGAACTTCTTTCATAAAGATGTTTGGAACATTCAAGAGCCAGGAATAGACAAAAATTGAGAAGGAGAAATGAAGAAAAAGTTAAAAACTCAAAAATATAAAATTTCCGACTTTAAAATCAGAAACAGGAAAATACCAGTGGCGTACCGTCGATCAACCTACAAATAGAGAATTAACCATACGGAAATATAAAAAACTGTATGGTTATTCAAAAACTGTACATAGGATTGAATTCATGCTAACATGGAAAGGTTGTGGGGGTAGTCAAAAACAGGGAAATACCAGTGGCGTACACTCAATTGAACTACGAATGGAGAACCATAGGAAAATATACAAAACTGTATAATTATTCAAAAACTGTTCATAGGAAACTGTATGTACAGTTTAAAAAAATTCGAAAATCATGAAGCAACCTCTACGTAAATACTGAAGAGGATGCTTCTGCAAGATTCAAGCAGTCAAATCTCACAATCTGAGGTCATTTCAGTCAATATTTTCATTCCATACAAGAGTCAATAATGACATTCAAAAGAGAAGTTTTACGATTTTGGAAATTTTAGAGACGAATATTTTGAGTCAAGTTTCAAGAGACTTTGGAAACTTCAGAATTTCATACTGAACGTTATGAAAGGTCAAGTCAGAGGATTTTGGGTCAACTTATAATTGAAGACAGTGTTGCAAGATTCCAAACACGAGAGGAAGTTTTCCTATTTTGAAATATCAGATTCTAGAAGACTCAGAACTGGTTAAAATTCTTAAGGAATTATTATTGAAGATAAGCGACTAATAACCAATGAACTATAACCAAAGACTGGAATGCGAACACATATTGACGAACGTGAAGCCTAGTGCCGCTGCTGCGGAGGGGATACCTGTTTTAGTCGCACTCATTAAGTTAAATGGCGGAAATTGCTTCCAACACGTATTCCAATTGATGAAACCTGTGAAGGTAAATATGACAAAACTTTCGAAAACGTCATATGTCAGCAAGCAACAGAAAAAAACAACATTCCCCTTTGTGGCATCTGTCTTTCATGGCTACATTTTTTTGGCAGATATGGCAATGTGTGCGCATTCCAGTTTTTGGCTATAGTTCATTGCTAATAACTAGAGATTAGTGCTGCAAGACTTTAAGCAGTAGAGGATCAAGAATCTGAGAATTTTTGAGTCAAAATCCTTGGTTCAATAGTAAATATTGTCACATTAAAGAGACAAGATTGTCACTAAATACTGAGACAAGATTCTAGGAGACCTTATTGTCTTATTATTAGGTATTTATTTATTAAAAAGTTCTCAATCCACTACTAAACATTGACACTTTGACAGAGCCAAAATTTCCGATTTCCAAATATTAGATTTTGGGAAATCCAAAAACTCAATAGGTACTGAAAACTCTAGAAATTCCGAACCCTTTCATGTTGAGAACGATAAAAATTCAAGTCAAAAGATTTTAAGCGACTCATAATTATTCAAATCCAGATTCAAGATTTTAGAGAATTCTAAGTTCAAAATCTTTAATTCAAGAGTCAATATTGAGAGTCAAAGATTCACTGTTGAAAACTCTAGAGTCGAAACTCTAGAAACACGAAACTTTATATTTAAAACCATGAAAATTCATGTCAGAAGATTATGAAGCAACTTATACTTACCTGAAAAGAGTGCTGAGCTGCAAGATTCAATAAGTCAAATCCCACAAATGGAGAACATTTCTAGTATATAAGTCGATACTCAAAACAGACGCAGATTTGCAATTTTGAAATCCTGGATTTTGGGAATTCCAGTGACCTAAAGCTGGGAAAACTGGATTAAGTCGGTGCTACAAAATTATTGGTTCAACATTACCTAAATATTGTAAATACTCATCTAACATTCGAAACAGACAAAGTTTTTTAGTTTAGAATTGCAGATTCTGGAAACTTCACAATACTGTGAACTCTGAGTTAAAATTCTAAAGACTTTGAAGACTTGTTTTCATACTGGGAATGGGAAGATTTTGAATCGACTCATAACTAAAAACCAGTTCTGCAATACTCTAAAATATTCAAGATCTCCCAAATCCCAGATTCTGAATACTCTAGAGACTCAATACTTTTAATCAACATTAATCCATACTCGATACTGATGAGAACCAAGTCAAATGATTTGAAGCAACTCATAATTGAAAACAGTGTTGTAAAATTCTGAAACAGTGAAGGTTCAAGATTCTAGAGACTGTAAACTCGTGACTAAGAACTATGAAAAATCAAATTCCAAGATTTCTAAAGTACCTACCTAGTCAAGACTCATGATTTTTTGGGGACCTTTGAATCAAAAGTATTCGTGGATTGACTCATAAGAGACAAGATTTCAATTTAAAACTCTCATATTCTTAAAAGAATCAATACTAACAAATCTGAGTTAAGTTTCTAGAGACTCTTGAAAATTTATTAAGACTTCATACTGAAAATTATGGAAAATCAAGTCTGAAGCGACTCATAACTTAATACAGTTCTGCAAAACTCTAAGCAGTCAAAACTCAAGATTCTGAAGACCTTTGAATCAAAATTATGGGTTGAGCAATCAATAGACTGATACTCAGAAAAGACAAGATTTCCAATTTAAAACTCTCATATACTGGAATTTAAAAGAATCAATACTAACATCTCTAAGTTAAAAGTTTCTAGAGAGTTTTGAAGACTTGAGACTTCATACTGAAAATTATGAAAAATCGAGTCTGAAGCGACTTATAACTCAATACAGTTCTGTAAGACTCTAACCAGTCAAGACTCAAGATTCTGAAGACCTTTGAATCAAGATTATTGGATGAACAATCAATAGACTGGTACTCAGAAAAGACAAGATTTCCAATTTAAAACTCTCATATTCTAAAGTTAAAGGAATCAATACTAACCACTCCGAGTTAAGTTTCTAGAGAGTTTTGAAGACTTGAGACTTCATACTGGAAACTCTGAAAAATCGAGTCTGCGAAGCGACTCATTACTGAATACAGTTCTGCAAGACTCTAAGCAGTCAAGACTCAAGAAGACTTCATACTGAAAATTTTGAAAAATCGAGTCTGAAGGGATTCATAACTGAATACAGTTCTGCAAGACTCTAAGCAGTCAAGACTCAAGATTCTGAAAACCTTTGAATCAAAATTATTGGTTAAACAACCAATAGACTGATACTCAGAAGAGACAAGATTTCCAATTTAAAATTATCATATTCTTGAAATTTAAAGTTAAACGAATCAATACTAACAACTCTGAGTTAAAAGTTTCTAGTGTTTTGAAAACTTGAGACTTCATACTGAAAATTATGAAAAATCGAGCCTGTAGCGTAGTATAACTGAATACAGTTCTGCAAGACTCTAAGCAGTCAAGACTCAAGATTCTGAAGATATTTGAATCAAAATTATTGATTGAACAATCAATAGACTGATTCACAGAAGAGACAAGATTTCCAATTTAAAACTCTCTTATTCTGGAATTTAAAAGAATCAATACTAACAACTCTGAGTTTAAGTTTTTAGAGAGTTTTGAAGACTTGAGACCTCATACTGAAAATGATGAAAAATCCAGTCTGAAGTGACTCATAATTGAATACAGTTCTGTAAGACTCTGAAGACCTTTGAATCAAAATTATTGGTTCAACGATCAGTTCCACGTCAAAGAGACGAGATTTCCAATTTTAAAATCTCAGATTTTGGAAGCTCCAAAAACTCAATATTTACTGAATACTCCTACATACAAAGAATTTTGAAGCGACTCATAACTGAAGATAGTGTAAGACTCCGAGCAGTGAAAACTCAAGATTCTGAAGACTTTTGAATCAAAATCCATAGTTCAAGAGTCGATATTGGCCAAGATTCACTACTTTGAATTCTGGAAATTCTAAAGACTCATAATAGGTATATTCAAAGATTCTAAAGACTTTGAAGACTTGTAACTTCAAAACATTGCTTCTAAGTAATTTTAGTTTTACCTATTCTCCATTTTCCACTTCGTGTTTGAAGGGTTCTTCAATGACTCTATCAAGATCTGATTATTTGAAAGGAAAAAAAACTAAGCAGAATATAAAGTTTTGTATGAAATTTGGATCATAGACTATTACATTATGAATTATGATCCTAGTAATATATTTAACAATTAACAAAATGTCTAAACAATGCCATTTGAAATTCACAAATTATTATTATTTATAAAGTAATGAGGAAATCGATTTCCTCTTTGTGTGTCGTTCGCTTCGGGCGTCTATTTTTCTTTTAATGTCTCTCGGCCTACTTCAAGTACCTACTAATAATATTTTACAGTTTTATTTTGATACATTTGGTATTGTGGTACATAAATAAATAACAATAATAATACGTATTTATTTATGCCATATACAAGAACCAACGGCGAAATTTCAAAAGCTTTAGGGTAGAATTTTATTTGAAAAACTCGTTAATCGAATATTAATAAAATGTTAATTTAACAATGTCAACGAACTATAAAATCGGTTATTATTCATTATTCTTCAAGACATCAATGGCAAGAATTTCCGTGTTTTGCAAATTTTTACCGACAACCTGTTTTAGCCAATTTCTATCAAAAACGATTGATCTAGAAAAGAAGCGGTTTGCTTTGTAGAAAGGTCTTTAAAAGTAGAACACATTTTTGAAGACTCAAACTTTGAATTCAGTTTTGTTAAACTTTATTCATACCTATATATGTATTTTTGTTTCATTTTATTCTCTATTATATTTTTTCAAATCATTTGGCGTACTTTTTCTCTAATTTTGTTAAAACTTGCTCTATTTGCTGAATAGTTGCTGGTGCTAAAATCAACCCAATGAGGAAACATATACTTCAAAACTCACCTCTCGCAATAAAAATTCCCCACAGACTCGTTTTCTTTTTCACTTTTCGCAATTGAATAAAAAAAGTCTTGCAAAAAAAAAACCAACCGGCACTTGCTTTGCTTACGTCACTCGCGAATCTCACTTGAGTCTATATTTAAGTCAATCAGAGAACGTGTGTCTCTGCAACCACTGACCCACTGAAGAAATTTCGTCCTCCTGCTGGCCGAAGAAGAAGAAGAAGGCGACCCGAGCCTGCCCAGATCGAAAGAGACGAAGAAACCGACTGAAAGCAGGAGAGCTTTCTCGAACTTGAGAGTTTGGTGTCGGAGTGAAACGCCTACAGTCACTTGATGGCAAACCATAAAGGCAGGAAAAAGCAGGTGAGATGCTTATTTTTCGGACAAACAAATGGTCGATTTTTTGTTTGTTAATTTGATCAATTATACATAAATAATGCCATAATATACTTACAAGGAAAAGGTATATACACGATAATCTTCCTCTTGTTTAGCCAGAGTGGTTGATTTTTTTCCTCAAACTTCAATCAAGAGCCGGTATAATATTCAAAATTTGTTCGTAAAATGCCTCTCCTGTGAATCAAGAGCCAATGATAAACAAAATTTTGATTCATGATTCGCATAGTAAAACTTTTCTGGAACTCACAATAGTTAAAGTTTCAGTTATCACTGGTCCTTCTTTTTGATTGCCTTCAAGGAAATTACACACCGAATCAAGAAACCGACTTTGAAGCCTTGCAGAATACCAAAAAAAAAAAAAAATGAAACAAAACGAAAAATCATTTTAACGGTACATTTTTCTTTATTTCAGAAATATTTAGCTACATTGTTCTCACCTATTATCGCTTTAATTTTTTTTAATGAATGCGAACTCTTCCATTTTTTTCTATTCTAAAATATTGAATTTTTCATCATCATTTTTTTTTTTTGTCCATATTATTAATGCTCTCTTATTGTGAAACGAAGAAAACTTAAAAACCACCAAAAACAATTTTTTTATATAATATTCATGCAATATATTTTTTTTTTTTTGTAAAAGCTAAACAACTATATATGTTTTAATAATTGAACATTGACTTGTTTTAACGTGACCTAATAATTATCAAAAACTATGTATTTTTATTTAAAATATGTCTTATACAATTTAATAATATTATGCTGTGGGATACATTGTATATTATATCGTATACGCACTCAAATGCCTTGTTTTTAAGTTTCTTCGTTTCCAATTTTTGTTGGTTTTATAAAAAAATTATTTCATAATAATCAGGAAGCAAAGAACTTACTTTATACGTCACATGATTTTGGGGTTATTTTTATCTTTTGTATTGACTACATAGAGATAATTAATGAGACCAAAATTCTCTACATAGTCAACTGTGGGATGATAACTAGCACCTGATAAAATGATCCATTATTGATATCGAAAATGAAGGATGTAAGTTTCAAGATGGGTAATGTACAGGCAACGGTGAATTTGTTCTATAATATGTATAAAATGAACATCATTAATTAATATATACACAACATTATTTTTTTTGGTTTAAATTATCAATAAATGTTTTTTACTAAGATTCAACATCATTTTTTTTCACTTAATTTTAATTAACTTTTATTTAAAATATATAAACATAAATTATAAATTTTCCTACTTTTGGTATTACAATATGTATGTCTAATAATAATATATTATAGCAGATAATCACTTTACTTTGCTCTAATAAGTTTCAACTTAAAATTTACATCAAACATTGAAAAATAAAAATAAATACAAAGTCGTATTAATCTGATTAAAAAATTAATTATTATGCAAGCACAAAATAAAATAAAGAATTTATTATTTTTATACTGCAATGAAACTTTTACAGTAAAAATAATATTTAATTGATTAATAAGCAAAATCCCTAAAGATTTAATTCGTTTTTTCTTTTTGTATGCCTCTTACACATTTAAGTTAAAATTAAAACATATATAACTGTTTTGTGAATATCACATAATCTTAAGATTTTGTTGAAACCAAAGTTAAAATTAACATAATTTATAAGTATCATTTAGTTTAATAATACTTTGTTTGTATTGCTATAAGTAGTTTGCAATTATTTTTATTTTGAGCTTTTGTTGCGCTCCCATATTTGATTTTGCAGTAAGCTTTCAGTGATTTTTAATTTTTAAAAAAATATATAAGAAACTGGATAGTTCTTTACGATAATCGAGGATCTAAAATCGATGAAGAAAAATATTTTTCATGAGAATTCACAAAATTAGAAGCAAAATTGACGGTTCTCGAAAAACGCTGAACTATCCAGTAGTGTTTCTAAAAATATCAAATCAGAAGTTTTGTTCAGAGGAAACCGTTCATAGAAAACTCAATGTGAATGTTTTCCACGTTTCATACTGTATAAATCCATCATCAAACATTTTTTTTTTTTAAATGGCGGTTCTGCGTTTCTCATAAGTACAAGTAATTTTCTCCTTCTGATTCATTCCTCATTGAAACGCCCTATAACGTATCTCTCTCCTTTTCATTTGCCGCAGTCAGTTTTCGTATACGGTTTAAAAGTAAAGCATGAATGTTATTTCGTGATTTCCGCTGATTTCTTTTGATTACCATCAGTAAGATTGCCCAAGGGTTCCCCTGCGATAACATAATCTCGAGTTATAAAGACTTTTGAAAACTGCGCATGCGTTCCTCATGATCTCCGTTGATTTCCTTATGATTTCCCCTGATTGCCTCAGATTTTTTCGGATTTCCTCTGGAATTCCCCTAATTTGTACACCAGATTTTTCTGCGGTTTACCTCAAGGGATCAGTTTTTGAACATCAGATTGCTGTTTCAAGAGAAATCATGGATGATATCTCATGATTTCCCCTAATTATTAGGAAGATTACTCGAGATTTCAACTGATATGTTATCAGATTTCAACTGATAATATAATCTCAAATTTATAAAGATTTTTGAAAACTGATTTTCTTAAGATTTTCCCTGCGAGGTCCTCAACGTTTTCCTTGATATCTCTGATTTCCTTATGATCTCCCCTGATTGCCAAATATTTCCTCGGATTTCTCTTGATTTCCCCTAATTTGTAGGTACACCAGGGCTGGGACTCTGAAAAGGATAGAGATGATCGTTATCCCCAACGCTATGGCACTTTGCTATATCTTCTTTTCTCTTTTAGAAAAGAAGAATAATAGAAATAGAGAAAATATATCTATGCGTTACAGAGTCCCAGCCCTGATTTCCCTTGCGGTTTACCCCTCGAAGTCAACTTTCTTTATAAGATCTTAGTAGGCCGTTTGGAGCGTTACGTTTCTCTTACTTCTTATGAGATGGAGAAAGACAATGAGTACATTCAGGCGGTCCCAGCGGCTTAGCTCAGCCTCTCAGCAGGAACTTTATTCTCGAAACCAAGGAACAGCGTTCTCATAAGAACAATTACTCTGTCATTGTCAGTGTCATGCCGGACGACAAAGACAGAAGCTTCGTTCCAATGAGAACGCTGTTCCTTGGTTTCGAGAATAAAGTTCCTGCTGAGAGGCTGAGCTAAGCCGCTGGGACCGCCTGAATGTACCAAATGATATTTTTCGACAGTGTTGCCAAATTTCCAGATGTTTTATTTTCAAGTGCAGCTAAATCAACTGCTTGGTAAGTCTTTGTTGGTTAACAAATACCTTAGATTGTGTCGATGTCAATATGACATTATTATTGTGTAGCAGAGCACATCAGTACATTTTAAGGTTGTGCCAACAGGTACAGTTGCGGCCATTGGAATTGGCACACATTTTTGAAGGCACCTTGTATTGCATCAAAATAATCAATGATTTGACTCTTTTAGCAAGCCGTTAATGTCACAATTGTGTCAGTTAAAGGAACACCCTGTACATTATTTTTTTTATCGTCCAAATTCTCTAAGGGCCGGTTTATTCAACTTCTGATAAACTGCCGGATAACTGTCTCATTGGTCAGCCAGTTATCCGGCGACCAATAGGATTATATGTTTAAAACAGGTAGGTTGTCTGATAAGTTTTATGACGTCATCTGGGGTGCCTAAACTTAATGCGAATGTCCATTAGAACCAGACGATCTAAGAGATCTTACCCCCACCATAAAATTCTGGGATACTCGAGGATCAAGAACACTTAATTTCTTCTGTGAGAAGTTGAGAACAGACCGAAAATCACCTTTTCTACATGTAAAATCGACGAAAAAATTAACGTACTAGCACATACTGAATCGCGAGCATTCCATTAAGGTCTGTAGATGACGTCATCACTAAAAACTGCTGATAGTGACATCAGCCGTAGGCCTAATATTTAATGGGAAGGGAGATAGCTCGGAAAATTACCTACTGTTTGTTTCGCGAGGATTTGTACTTTTGCCTTCCTTTTTTAACAAACAAAAATTGACTGAAACAACTGCTGACGTCAAAAATTTTATGAGTTGACATTATCGCTGTCATAAGTACAAACCTTCGTGAAATGAGCCTTAGGGCCAAATTATGGACCAACTTGTAAGTGTCTGGTTGTTACCTAGCAGGTACTTTCTATTATCTAGAGCATAGAAAGCACCTGCTAGGTATTGTTCGTCGATTTTAATCTGATACTCGGACGGAATGTGAGCTGGTGGCTCCCTACATTAAAACGCCAATGGTTACCTGACGTCACACCTGTTTTTCCCATATCAAACACCCCCTCGCTCTTCATACCGCAAGTATCAGTTAAAAATCGACGAACAATAACAATGAGATGTTTACCAGTTAGTCCATAATTTGGCCCTTATGGCCGGTATTATAAAACACTGAACCGATGGTTGAGTTTCAGTGTTTTATAATACCGACGTTTTTTGATTTTGTGCTGATTTAAAACCGGTTTATCAGTGGACACGGCTATCTAGTTTATCGGTCACTTAGCTAATGATAATTATGACACCTAAACTGAATAACCGTCCACTGATAAACCGGTTCTTAAACTATTTTAGACTTTAGACCCAGTTTATTCATCTTCAGATAACCTTGTTCTGTAACTATCTGCAAGATACATTTACCTTTCTATAATTGTTGTATTGGGTGGCGAATAACTGATAGCCGACCAATGGTATTACAGACTGCGTTTTTATTCGTCAGAATGCATACCTGAAAGTTTATCAGAAGGTGAATAAACCGACCCCTAAACTTTATCGAATACTAAATACTAATAAGTTATGGTTTGTGGCTACGTATACGTATAGGATTTTTAAG